CAAAATTTTTCAATCGTCTCCTAACTTATCGACAAAATTTATTTGTTTATAAGTTTATAGAATCAAATGACGACACTCTTATATACTTACTCGATTAATTATAATTTAAAAACTATTTAAATGGGATTGTATTGTGTAATAATGAGGTATAATAAACAAAAAGATATTCTCAGAGAATTTTGATATATTTGTTAAATACAATTACATGTAAGTATAAGTATATAATAGTATATTATCTTTTTGGTTACGTTATAAACACATAATTAAAAATAAGTTTTCGATTATAAATAAATGATATATGATTTTTGTAATAAATTATTCATTTAATGTTTTAGAAATTCGAATTATTTAATATAAAAATCGTTTTCGAAGAATTTTTGTTGATATCCTAAATAATAAAATAATTTATACTGATCATATGTGATTAGTATGATTGCATAAAATATAAATGTAAGTAAAAATTAAAAATATTATCCTGATTTCTCGAATAATATATTATGAATAATATAGATAAAAATAATTTTAATTTATATTAATTTAATGAAAACAATATTCTGATAATATTTGCAGTAATGAAGATTTGGAAAATTAGTTGCTATAATGAAAATAATGGATAGATCAAAAATGTAAAATGTCCAGTTTTAAAACTCCTGTTAAATTGATGATTTTTATCAAAATAGTGGTTCTTAACATACATTTAATAAGGGTAAGATAGCTTTGATTGATTATCTAATATTTAATAACATTTACAATATAATTAATATTCAAAATCATAAGAATTATAAATTATTCTAATTTGAAAATACTTATAGATTTAATAAGTATAAATTTATTAAATATATGTGGAACGCGAGCTCGATTTCTAGGCCGATGAAATTGGAAATTTGGCCGATGATATTAAAATGTAACTTACGAGCGAGAAAACCATGGAACTGATTGTAAGTGGAAACTCGAATTCAAATGGTGTGTACGTGCTCGTTTTCGTCCATAGTGTAATAGTCCATTGAGTGGCTGAAGTATTGTTTGTAATTTCACTTTACAGAATGTTTCATGCAACCATTCTATTAGGTATCCTATTAATGAATTTTTGGAATTAATAAATATTCCTGAAAATAAAATAGAAACAGATGTAAAAACTCAAATTCAAACAATTTGTAGAAATCTGATTATTGAATCGAAAAAGAAAAAGAAACAAATGTAATTTTTAATATCGATTTATTATTTGCAGCAATACTTTCCATTACATCTATTACATTCTATTAATCTAATATACATGAAATCTAATAATCTCATCTATGAAAAATTCAATGTCATATTCGATAGATACGTATAATATAGATTTTTAATTACTAATTATTTTCATTGCTATCGTACAAATAAAATAGGCCAATTATGATCAAACAAATAGTATAGTTTTATAATGAATAAACAATATATATAAATATTTGTTAAAAAATCTTTTATATATAGATTGACGTAAATATTAATCGAACATAAAACAAAATACATCTATTGTATAAAGTAGCTATTATAAAAAATGTAATAATAAATTATATTGAACCTTATAATAGAATTTCATCAATCTTCATTTGTGATACAATTATACCTTCAAATAGAAAAAAAAAAAA